CTCAAGCATGCCCCAGTGTCTGTTTTTCCCCTCTTTGTGTCCATGTGTTCCCATCGTTTAGCTTCCACTTTGCAAGTGAGAACATGTAGTATTTGGTTTTCTGTTCTTGTGTTATTTTGCTAAGGATAAAGGCCTCCAGCTCCATCCATGTTCCTGCAAAGGACATGATCTTGTTCTTTTTTATGGCTGCATAGTATTCCATGGTGTATTTGTACCACACTTACTTTATCCAATCTGCCATTGATGGGCATTTAGATTGATTCCATGTCTTTGCTATTGTAAATGGTGCTTCAATGACCATATGTGTACACATGTCTTTATGGTAGAAAAATTTATATTCCTTTGGGTATATATCCAGCAATGAGATTGCTGGATCATACCTCAGTTTTTAAAAGTGTATGTTACTAATCATAGCACTAAATTATAAATGCGTGGTTTACCAAGCATCTTACTTAATTTGTCCCTTAAACTATCTCTATACCAAGGCTCAAAAGCTACATAACTTACACAAAGTCATACAGCTAGTAAATGGCAGAGGCAGCACTCTAACCTGGCTTTCCTACATGCAACTACATATAATAAACAATAGACAGTAATGAAAAGACCTCATGACTTCCTCTAGTTTCTGTGCAGGCCAATGTTTGGTTTTCTAGCTATAGCTGTTAACCATTTGTGGGTCATGAAATCAATTTAGTAGACTCATCACCCTTTTTTTTTTGTTTTTTGGTTTTTTTTTAAGGAATGGAGAGGAGTGAAGAAAATGAGAAAGGAATGGAAATAAAAAGATGAGTTCATTTTGCTTAGAAATGTTAAATATTGGTTTTTAACTTTTGTTTCAACTGAGAAGCAGAGTTTAGGAGTTTATGCATGCCAGGCTACAAAACAAAATGTATTTCTTACTGTAGTACCTAGTCAAAAAGATTTGAAAACCATTGCTGCAGGCCAAACAAGGGATTACAACAGTAAAGCAGGCTATAGTCAGAAGAACAAAGAGATGAGGATCATAGAAGTACTATACTGTAGACAAATGGCTGTGAAGGACAGGGGAGAAAAGAGCAAGTCAAAAACAACTCCTAGACTCCAAAAACACTCAGTGGACACACTGATGGATAATTCAGCATTGTCACATCCACATTCAACGTGTCCCAACTTACCTTTTCAAACCTGTCTCCCCTCACTCTCCCTCCTCCCAACTTTTTTCCTCTATGAGGAAAACCTTCTTCAAAACCCAGGTATAAACAATGGAAGTTATAAGCTAAACAATTATTTATTCACCTTTATTTATTACCCTAGCACCTAAGCTGCACTTTATACAAAGAGAATGCTCATATTTATAGCACAAACACTGCTAATAGTCTATTTACTCTGCCTAGGGAACCCAACACTATAGTAATCCATTATTCCTTTAACAAGACAGTGCAATTCAATTCTGATAGTAACTCAAGAAATAACCTTATAACATGAAGTACTTTTGCAGACCCTTAACAAAACAACTAAAGAGATAGGTTTTTAACATTAATGCTTCCCGCGATGTTTCCATTTAATGTTTCTAAAATACTGTTATTCAAATGTATGACTATAGCACAATGCTATTTTTATATGCCTCTCTCAAGTTCTGCCCAAAAAAAGGGTTATTCACATTAAGAATTTCTACATTGAAAGCATACATGCAATGTATATGTTGTAAGGGGGCAAACTTCAATCAGAAAACATATTGCCAGCACATATCAAAGTAACATTGGCAAATGCTGCCCTGAGCTCTAATACACCAGAAATAGTTTAAAGAGCCCTCAAAATATCCAGCTACCCATTCCCTTCTCACAACTCTGCATTGATCTGTAACACATATACCCTGGAAGGCTCAGCTGCAAATGTGTCACACCACTTCTCCGTCCATATATCAGGAAATATTTTTTAAAGGAGTAAAAAGGGACAGAACTGAATACAGCAGGTCAACTTACTTAAATTTAAGAAACTCACCAAAACTGTATTAGAAAGGAAGAAATGGTTTAATTAGTCCCAACTTACAAATAAGTGAAAAATCAAATAATTGATTTGCCAAGGTAACAGAGCTAAGAAGTAGTAAAATTCTGTCTTTCAATAAGAATCTTCTGATTCCAAATCCAACAATGCTGTTTCTACACTGCATCAGTCAACAATGAATAAGAAAGAATTTACTCGTTGGTGTCTCCTGTTGAAGATAGCTATGCTTATTCTCAAATCTGTAAAGCAACAGATACAGATGCCTAAACTAGGCTACCTGCCTGATCCTTCCCTGGACTAACTCTGGGCCTACTCAAGAGAGAAGCTAAAGCACAAGATCAAAAGAGAACAGTGAGAGTGAGGAGACAGTAGTTCTGTCAGCAAGTCCATGTGAAGAGGGTCAATGAGGAATCCAGGAGAGACAGACATGTGTACACTTAAGAAGAAAGGAGGGGCAAGGCAACATTCAGCAATCCAGGCAAGCGGTCAGAAAGACTGACAGAAGGTCCTCATTACAGCTCCCATACCTTGTGCAAAAAAAGCAAGACTCTGTCTCTGGGAAGCCTGAGTAGCGCTAAGTCAGGCTGAGATCCAATACCAGGCAGGTTATGAGAGCAGTGACTCTCTCACTTGTTCAACAAAAAATTTATTAAAATACTCACTATGTACCAGAAAGCATGCTAGGTACTAGAAGTATTCATTACATAGCAACCCTGCCTTCAAAAGGTTTAAACTATTGAGAAAGGCAGATAATAAATGATGTATTGTTGAAGATATGCACTAGGCATTATGGTAACAACTCAAAAGTTTTTACCTTACCAAGGCCAATTGCAAGGATAAAGGGAGAGGTGAGGAATGGCGGAAGGTCAGAGACAGAACTAAGAAAGTCCTCAATGAGGAATCCAATTATTAATATAAGATAGAGCAACGTGGCTTCTGGAATGGCATTCCGAAGCCACCCATGACTCTAGTTTCTAAAACTAAAGGTAAAGATTGTGGGTTGGCAGTGCACAGCACAACGACTGTCATATAATAAAAGTAAGGGCAGTGCTAAAAGAGAAAAAAATGCAATGTCCATGAAATATGAATAAACCTCAAAAATGTCATCATACAGAATATTACCCAGCAATAAAAGTGAATAGGCTGGTGCAGTGGCTCAACACCTACAATCCAAAAACTTTTGGAGGCCAAGGCAGGAGGATTGCTTGAGCCCAAGAGTTCAAACCCAACCTGGGCAACACAAGAAGACCTTGTCTCTCCAAAAAATTAAAAACTTAAAAATTAGCTAGGTGAGGTGGTGCATGTCTGTAATCCCGCTGCTACTCAGAAGGCTGAAGTGGGAAGATTGCTTGAGTCCAGGAGGTCAAGACTGCAGTAAGTCGTGATCATATCATTGCACTTCAGCATGGACAACAGAGCAAAACTCTGTCTCAAAAAAAAAAAAAAAAAAGAAAGAAAGAAAGAAAGCAAATGAAGTACTGATACATGCAACAGTAAGAATGAACCTTGAACACCTTATGGTAAGTGAAATAAGTCAGTCACGAAAGACCACATATGATATGAGTCAATTTATATGAAATGTCCAGAACAGACAAATCTATAGTCAGAAAGTAGACTGGTGGTTGCCTAGAACTAAGGGAGTTGAGGGAAAACAGAGAGGGACTATTTATGAACATGACGTTTAAGGGTGACAAAAATGTTCTAAAAATGACTGTAGTAATGGTTGCACAATTCTTCTGAATATACTCAACACCACTAAATTACACACTTTTAATGGGTGAATTGTATGCTCCATGAATTATAGATCAAAGCTGTTACAAATATACCATTGAATATCATAAAAATACAAACATAAAAATTGCAGATGGTTTATCAGCCTTAAGAAGCCATTTTGCAAGCTGGGTTAACTTAGCATAGTAAGTATAAGACTTGAAGCAATGTGGAACAAAATTCAAGCTATGACTGTACCACTTGCCAGCTGGGCACACTTGGGCAAGCTACTTAATCTGTCTGAGCCTCAATAATGTCAACTGCAAAATAAAGACATCTACCTTGCAAGGTGAGAAATCTGTACTGTTACCAATTTCTATGTGTTAGTATATGAAAATGTCATCCAGAAAATTATATGTAAATATGCTTTTCTTAGGTACTATTCAAAGGAATAAAACATATCAACATTCTAATACAATTTTTAAAATCATTCATGTCAAGATCTACATTTCATTCATCTTTGTATTCTGCCTTACCAGGTGCATAAGACAGTACTTTGGATATTAGAGGTGCTATTTTCTAAGTGCTTACTATGGTCTAGGCATTCTTCATGCTTCATATATGGTGAAGTTGAATGCAAAGCCTGGTCAATGGGGGGCCATGTTTTTTCCTCTATAACACATTTACATATTTTTGGTGTCATTGTTTATTTGTGTTTTGTTGTTGTTCTTCTGGTTATTCTTTTACTATTAACAACAGGTTACATTTAAAAATATATTTCTCAGAAAAACTTACTTGACTATGCAAGAATCTATAATGGTGCTTTAAAGTGTTACTTACTATGAGAAGCCCTATTATTTTCAACATAAAAAACATAGTAAAGCATGCCCGGTTCTCTCATTTTTAAGCAAAATTTTAAAAATATACATGCATAATATTTTAGTCTGGCTTACTTTAATTAGCAACTACGTATTTCTGAAAAGCTGACATGTCTTTAGCTATTTTTACCTGTTTTTTGAAGTGTGCAACTCATTCCTAAAGAATGAGAGTTGACTTGAATGATTCAAAGTTGACTAACAATTTGTAATTAAATTTTTTAAATTAACATATCCACCATTCACTTTACAACCTAAAACCAACAATTTAGTGTATTTTACCATTTCTACCTCTTATTTCAGCACTATAAGAACAGTATGTTTCCAATATTGGTGACTTTTAGCAATTTCAAAGATGTTAGCACAGCACACCATCAACGTTATATGGTTAGTTACGATTCATAACAAAGGAAAAGTTGAGGATAATCTTACCATATCATCCGTCAGTGTCCTAATATTTAAATGCTGCAAATTAAAAAAAAGGCAATCATATCAGTAATTTATAACAGCTTTTTTATTTTAGTTAATAGGGTACATTCAAAATTCTACAATCCTAACTTGGATGTAATTAAATTTTTGACAGTCCAATAAAAACACATTATATATAATAGTTTTAATCTCTTTCTCAAAAAGATGGACAAAAGTTACCCTGCATGCGGTAGTTCCAAACACTTACTAAAATTTTTTTACTTTGTAAACCTCACAAACTAAAAAATTAATTATGGTACAATAAATACATTACCCCAATTAACAGTATTAATTACCATTAAGTATATGAACTTAGAACACAATGGATCTGTCTGAGAATGAGGGCACATAGAAAAAATAAAACAAAAAAGAACACTGGATATAAAAGATTTTAATGTGATGATATTTCAGAAAAATTTTCATATTATAAAACAGTGAAACTTTAAATTTACCATTAGTATGCAGCATAATAGATGATGAAGTACTTTGCTGGCTTAATTAACTTAAGCAATTCTAGTAACGGAGAAGAATGTACTAAAATGACTATTTGCATCTTTAACATCAGTTTGATTTATCACCAGTGGTGACAGTAGACATTTTCAATTGCATTGCTAGCTTCAAGAACCCTTTTGCTGATTTCCTTGCTAGACAAATATAAGACCATTCTAGAGAGTGAATAGTTTCCTGCAAAATACAACTCAAAAGAAAAACAATTATTTAGAGAAAAAACACAGAAATCTAAGTTGTATAAGTCCCAGTGTCGGGCAAGATATTGTATTCAAGTAACTAGAATCAATTACCAATTCTCCCTTCTCTAATTCACTGGAGCATTCAATTTTTAAAGGGGCAGGGAAAGAGTAAAACACATTTTCTAAATAGGAAACAAGGTCTACTTTTTTATAAGGACAGGTGTTAACAATCATCTAACAGACTAAGTGGTACACAGTTAAATTCAACATTTACTTAATAGAATGAAATTTATCATTCATGTTGGTATACTCAAGTACACCTTCATGCTCATGAATCTACCTCAGTGATGATCCAGATTAAAAATCCGTACAATGTAAATCACCATCCCAGATTCTCTTCTCCCTTTCTTTCACCAAGATGTTCCTTCTTCTAGTACAAAGGAAAGAAGGTAACTGGGATCTAAAATGAATGTTGTGTATACCAAAGAAAATGTAGCCAAATGAAAGACCATTAGCCACACCACTAGGCTCCAGATTGAACGGCCTTGTTGAATTAGAATCACCTACACTGACTTGGGAATAAGGAAGTAATAATAGTGGATTAACTAAGGATTAGTGTCTAATACCAGGCTATAGAATTTGCTTTTTTAATCAATACTATCTTCAGCCTTTGAAATTAACAACTAGGCACAGTGGTCCTTAAAAGTGGTTGGGATCCTGAGCGGGACCGTAAAGTATGTAAGGAACTTAGGGCCAGAGTGTCACCCCAGAGACCATTACTAAAATTAAACCCAAATGTAGAAGGCTCTTGAGTTTGCAGAGAAAGGAGCTGGGGCAATGCCTGTGTGGGGTGCCCTTCCTCTAACAGTTGTATGTGTGCCTTCTCGCCAGTAAAGGCTTCCAGCCTATTGCATTTGGTTAACCACATTTCACTCTTGTTATTCTACAATCAGAGGTATCACTCCAATCACATCTCATTTCACTCTCAAAAGGGTTCAAGTTCCTGTGACAAAGAAACAAAAAGTGACATGTAGTGAACTTCTGGCACAATGGCATGCCAAGTGGGCTAATGCTTAAAAAGTAAAGCCAAAGAAATAAAGTATAAAGCTGAAATCCTATTTAGGATGGTATGCCACAATAAAGAGAAAACATCTATTTAAACAAATAAAATATTCCCAAAAACCAGCTTGAGTTGCTTCAGGAAAATGCCACAAAAGTGATATTTTAAAAAGTAAAAGACAATAAAAATAGATAAGTAATTTTAAAATAAAGATGACTAGGGTCCAGGCAAGATTTATGATCTAAAAACTACACAAAAGATACAGAAAGTAAAAGGAAAATAACACTAGATAGGAAAATTGGAAATGCAAGTTACATGATGCAAAATCCAGTTGTAAACATCCAAGAGAAACACTTTTATATACTGTCAAAGGTCTAAAATTAGACCATCTTTTTACCATTTCAGCTGGGCTCACAATGTTCAGGAAAAAGAACAGACACTGTTATGTAAAAACAAGGCAAGACAAGAATCCATTTTTGGTCATGGTTTTGTTTTTTTTTTTTAATATATACACTCTGAAAGTATCTCATTGAGGGTATAGCTTTTTAAAAGATTTAATTTCCTAAAGGCTTGATCTGTTTTCAAACTATATAGGTATGTACATAAGCCCAGTTATAACCTATATTATTATATTTCCCAAAGAACATGTGATGAATCACAACAGAATTAAGATGCAGGTGTATCTTGCAGGGAGAAGTAAGAAAACTCAAAGGGATGTAGATGTGGAGAGTATAACCGAGTCTGAGAGAAAAGAAGGTCAAATTCATTATTCCTTCTCTTCCAGAGAACACTTACCTATCAATTCTCATTGTCAGCAAGAGAAGTCAATAGGGCAGGAAATCACAGCAAATTCAAGGGTCCAGACAGGACTGGAGAAACTGACTAACAGAGTAAGGAGCTGGAAAACTGATCTGAGAATTGTGTTTGTCTACATCAAAACAATGAAGTCAGAATAGGTTTCATTTCAAGATTTAGTTTGCTGAAGAATAGAGATTACATAGTTAAGTACACACATGCAATCTTAAACCACTAAAGATAGGCTAGCATTAAAAAATCTAAATAAATCTAAGCACTAATAATTTCCCTTAAAAACTGGAATGTCTCATCATAGTTTACTTTAAACGTTAAATGTGAATTAAAGAAAAAATAAACACTCAATACTTAGTGAAAAAATGTAAACACTATATCAAGTGGTACTCTTTCGTAGGATGTTGGAATATTAATACTATATGCAAGTTTATCATTAGAAAGTTTACATGATTTCAAGGCCCTGCCTGTTTGTATTATACACATAAAATAGGGACTCTCCATGAAGTAGAAATTGCCAAGAAGAGGGAGAAAGGAAGAGAATGACTGACTAAATCTTCAGATAACTCTGAGGCTTTTAAGCCTTACTTTTGTAAACACAAAACTTAATATTAAGGGTAATATCCTTAATTAAAATAAGAAAAAACTTTGTAACACAAAAATATTGATTTTATGGTGTAACTTGAGGTATTGTTTAAAATGAAGTATTTCTGTTTTATAGCCACCAGCAATGCTCTTTACTATCTTCTAGTTCAGGAAAATAGGAACTGCAAACATCAATCCAGTTCATGAGTAGCCATTGTGGACATCTACTCCAAAAAGGAAATAGAAACATAAAATTGACTATTAAATGGAAGCAACTAGGAACACCTTTAAAACTAATAATAACCTGATAGCAACTTTTTAGGGTTATATTTACCAAAAAAAAAAAAAAGTTGGAAGCATACAGTTTTAGACATTATTAAGACTTTCATATCTAAATGTAACTTTGTGACCTCTATGTATATTACCTACCTGGCCTATGACTCTATAGGTGTTATTAATGTTTTATGGCACTGAAATCAAATAAAACTCATGATATTAAATTATAAACAGTTCTATCCAGAGGACTAGTGGTTATTGGTTAAGATGTGATATTAAAGAACATGAGGACTCTTTTCCTAAGCTAAAAACTCATCTTTCTTCCTATGGTCCTATGTTTCTCAACTTACTATTTCTATTTTCTCCCTAAAAAGTAAGGAGAACCACATACAGATGGGTAACAATGTTTTCTGTTAATGACAGTTCCTAGGATGAATGGTCAAGAGGGTCACTCTGGAATTGAAAGAGGAAAAAAAGCCTTTATAGATTTTTCTTCAAAAGAACATAGGAGTCGGGGGGGAAAAAAGTAGAAACACAGAACATCGGTCTCTATATTCCCATTTAAGTAATGCATCAAAACTTTTATTGAAGATAGTGCATGCTGTCAAAAAATGGATTTAGAGCTTTCAGAGAACTGTGCTAAATGCTGTGAATATCAAGAGGCATATGAAATAGTTTCCCCACTAACTTAGTTTACAAGTAACAAAGACAGATAAATTGTAGTACACAAAGCAATAGACAAACCCAGGAGATCCACACAGTGAAAAAGATTCCAAGCTGTAGCCCAAGACTTTTCGCAAATTTTATGTTTTCTTTCATTGGTTAGCACATCTGAACTACAGGCCAATGGAGCAAAGGATCTGTCCAATGATATCATTAGGAACATGACAGCCACCATCAGATTCAAGCCAGTAGGCTTGCATCAATTTATTATTATAAGAACCAAATATGTGGTAGTATTTTTAAATAATCTTTGGCTGACACAGTTTAATTCCATCAAAATTGACTTTTTTTTTTTTTTTAAGATACAGTCTCACTCGGTCGCCCAGGCTGGAGTGCAGTGGTGCACTTGATCTCAGGTTCAAGTGATGCTCCTGCCTCAGCCTCTCGAGTAGCTGGGACCACAGGTGTGCGCTGCCATGTCCGGCTAATTTTTGTAGTTTTAGTGGAAACAGGGTTTCACCATGTTGGCCAGGCTAGTCTCGAAATCCTGACCTCAGGCGATCCTCCAACCTCGGCCTCCCAAAGTGCTGGGATTACAGGAGTGAGCCACCACGCTTGGCCAAAAATTTACATCATTTAAGTGGGTTATGAGGGATTACCAACAAGAGGAAAACTTGTAAGATTACAGACTCAGACACAATTTTCATAAGCTAAGTCCTCTGGACCAGCTGGTTTTTCCAGGTTTTTGTTCATTTGGCATGCACAAGAATCACACCAAGGCTTTCTTTGAAAAGCTAGATTACAGGGCCTCAGTCTACCAATATTCTTATTCAGTAAGTCTAAGGTGGGACCTGGGAACCCACATGTTTAAGGAGTCATGCCTGTAATGAAGTGGCAGCATGCCCAGGACCACATGA